TATATATATATAATATTCATTATCTAATTCATCCAAATTTAAAAAAAAAAAGTAATTAATTTTTTTTGGTAATTGAAGCAGAAGAAACAAAAAAAAAAATTACATCCTAAGGAATGGGAGCCGATCAATAGGAGGAGAGTCCAACTCTTGTAGCACATTACCAGAATTTTTCTAACTAGAAAATCAGCACAACCATTGTCTTCTTTGAGAGAGTGAACTAAAATAATATGTCAATGTTTGATCATAAGTTCCTTTATAGCCAGAATGATTGAAGAGTACAAAGTAAAGTAATTAATTTAGTTAATAATAATAAAATTTTTAGTTTATATTTTTTTTTTCTAAAACTACTTTTATATTTATATTTCTTTTCTTTTTTAATTAATGTTCATATATCTTCTAATTAATTAGAGTTCATGTTTTATATTATTTTTCTTTTTTTAGTTAATAATCATTTTTCTCCTAACTAATTAAAATGTATGTTTTTTTTATAAATAATTTATAATTAATACATTTTACTCAATTAAGATAACACATTTAATCTAAAAATAATTAATATATTAAACAATATGCATTGAATTTTATATAAAAGAACAAATAATTGTTCTAAATTAAATTTTATAAATAAAAACAGAAAATAGTAATATCTTATCTACAAAGACTCAAAATATATATTTAATCTTATTTATTTGTTACGAATAATTGAATTTTAATTTTTTATTATCATTTTAGAAATAATAGTATATTATTTCATAATTAAAATTTTTGAATTATTGATTCTCTTTTATGATTTAATATGAACAAATTTTAAATGAACAGACTCTCTTAAAATATAAAAGTGGTTTTTATCTTAAATAAATAAATAAAAATCTTCTAATTGGTTAATTTTAGGTTCTTACAAGTCCAAAACTATTATTAATTTGACTCTCACAAGTCACAACACAAAACGCCGCGAGTCTTGTTGCCAGAAAATTCAAAAAGCTTGAACTTGTCATGTATCTGTTATTCTTCTGATTCTAAACGCTGCAAGAAAGAGAATAAGATAGCTTCGTCAACCATTAGAATTGAATAAAGTTCATAAGGTGATGTAATTTTTTTTTCTCTAAACTTTCATTCTTATTGTTCTTTTATTCTTTGTTTTATTCTAGAGCACCCCTTCAACGTTAAAAGCTTCAAAGTCGATCGAGTCTTTGCTTGGAGCTCCCAGTCTTTTCAATCATGGGTGGTGCATTTCTTGTCGTGTGTGGTGTGTATGATAGAACAAAATCGTCTGTTTCATGATTAATTCAGCTTTGCCTCTTCTTTCTGTGATCATGAATGCTCGAAAATGCCTTAATAACAAGGTGTCAAATAGTTAACCATCCTTTCATTTCTACGATAAAGCAACTTATATATATTCTTTAGTTTGTCTTGGATAATTCAGATCAACTTTGTTATTTCTGTTTGCTTAAGTTATATATCAACTTTCTTGATGGACCCTATTGTTAATGCTCTCTTTCTATTCATGTTTTCACTTGTTTATGAGGCTGTGCATGATTATGATTCTTAATTATGTTTAGTGCACTCCCTTTTGTTTGATAAATATGCATGATTTTTTGTCACGGTGGTCTAATTAAAATCTTTCATTCTCTACAATTATTTAATGTTCAACATGCTAATCATAATTTCCTATGATTATTTATAATCCGATTGGATAAACCTTTTGTTCAGATTATTGTTGAAATCCGTGAGTGATGGATGAGTCAGGTCCTTCTTCTGGTATTATTAAAGGAAAGTCCAGAATTCCAAGGAAGCCTCGGGTTATACTTGCTGCTTGTGGATGTATTGATCGATGCTACAAAATTTGGACCTCTTTGATAGATTGACTTTTCTAAATGAAAAATATTAATGACACTCTCTTATCGATGCTTTTTAATATTGTTTAAGAACTTACATTTGGGTTTTGATATATTGTTATTGAATCATGATAGAAATTTAATAAATGGAAAACTAAACCTATTTGCAATTTCTATTAAATTTTAGTTAGTAATTAAAAGAAATTGTTACTACTATTATTTCTCTTATAAAATTTAGATAAATCATTACTTCAACAACAATATCCTATTATATAGAGATTGGCACCCATTGACCATGACTAAAGATGAAAATTTTCAATTGTATTTCTTCTATATCTTATTAAGAGGAGAATTTAGACTTAAACTTTTAATATGGTGTTGTAGATTTCTGGGGGGCAATGTGACGATCTACTGTCAAGTATTGCACGAGGATGGGACTATAGTAAGCCATTTTTTGTTGCACCCTCGATGGACCCTTCTACGTGGAGAAATCCTTTCACACAACGCCATTGCGTGAGAATCAAAAACCTTGGCATTTCTGTTATTCCACCTGCTTCAGAAAAACTGGAATTTTTTGCGTCTTCAGATGAAGAAGGGGAAGATAAGACTGGCGCAATGCCTGAACCTTCTGAAATTTCTTACACCGTGAGGATCTCTAATCAAATTTATTGGAGTTGACAATTAATTCTCCTTTTATATTTTTTAATTGCAGTGCCATAGGATGTTTGTTGTTTGTACTT